GCTTGATTTATATGATCTCTCACCAAATGTCTGTAATGAGCAGGAGCACCATCGTGCATAAACCAAATTTGTCGTCTAGTATTAATGCGTACTTCTTCGAGAGCCCCAGGAAGTTCTTGCCGAAGGAATTCTAAATAATTTTGGCCGTTCAACCTTTCAGGTAGAGCGATAGGCCCCAATATAAAATTTCCTATAATCCCGCACCAGACGTTAACTGAAAATTCGTGTTGGAAGTGACTCTCTTTTATTGCGTTTGGACTTTATTTGCTCCATACGAGTTTTTCCAATTAAAAACACCTCTACTGGCAAAAACAGCTTCATCTATGTAACGAGCGTTCAAATAAAAACGTGGTCATGTTGGTCCTGAAAATTTGGACGTATGGCGTAGCGTATAGCAAATGAACTTAAACGTCATGTGTCAAAGCGCTATATCGCCGCTATCAATTTGAATATTTTCGTTTTAAAAAGCGTTTAAAATGGTGTTTTCTCAAGAACAAAAAGTGTTTATCATAGAGTCCTACTTTAGAAATGGACGCAAGATTGATGGAATATGGAAGTATTCTATTGAGGAATGTTTCATAGAATTTCAAAATCAATTTCCCGGCGTTGTTGAGTACAAAATTTTTCAAAGTGCAGTTCAGCGTTGTGTTAATGTTTTTCGTGAAACGGGCAGTGTAACAAGAAAAGAAGGAAGCGGCCGACCTAAAAAGCGGACTGAAGAATTAAAAGAAAATGTCCAACAAATAATGGAAAATGCGCCAAGAACTTCTGTACGTGTTTTATCACAAATGGTGGGAGTATCAGTCGGTACCTGCCACACAGTGTTAAAAAAAGATTTGCGTTTGTTCTCCTATCGTTTAACTTGTCAGCAAGAACTTCATGAAGTTGATTTTCCGCGACGGGCTGTATTTTGTGAATGGTTTTTAAACAACTACGGTGAACTTCATAATATCACCTTTTTTTCTGATGAAGCCTGGTTTCATTTAAGTGGTTACGTAAACTCACAGAATATGAGAATGTGGTCTTCTGAAAAACCAGATAACTTTTTTGTCGAGGGCCCTCTACACGCTCAAAAAATTGGAGTTTGGTGTGCTCTCAATCGAAGGAGGATTTATGGACCTATTTTTTTTAATGGTACTCTTACTGCGCAAAGGTATAGAGAAGAAATTATCGCTCCTTTTGTTAACCAGCTGGAAGAAAACGAAATTACAAACTTTTACTTTCAACAAGATGGCGCAAGGGCACATACGGCAGGCGAGACGATGAATATGTTGAGGGAAGTTTTCCAAAATCGACTAATAAGTCTCAATGCTGAACATGAATTTCCACCGAGGTCATGTGATATTACGCCGTGTGATTTCTTTTTGTGGCCTTACCTTAAAAACACTATTTTTGAACTGCCTATTCCTGATTTAAACCATCTGCAGGCTCGACTTATAGACAAGATTCGTGAAATTAACAATACCCCGAGCATCTTAGAAAATGTCTTTAATTCTTTGAGGAACAGGTGTGAAAAGTGCTTGGAACAAGGAGGGGGACACTTTCAGCAGCTGCTTTAATTTATTGTTATAACAAGGAGGGGGACACTTTCCGCAGCTCCTTTAATTGTTTGTTATTGTTATCACGATTATTCTTTAAAATAAAGTTATATAGTCATTAACGTTATTGAAACTGACAGCTGCTATACAGCTCGTTGAGAAATGAGGTTAAGTTGGTCGCTATAAGCTACTCCCTACGTCCAATGTGTCAGAGCTAACTTCGACCACGTTTTTATTTGAACGCTCGTTATATAGGCCAGGAAATACAGAGTTGGACGCGACTTTTTGTTTCGGCAAGCTGAATTTATCACTATAGACACTAAATATTATGTACAATAACATATTAGTTCCCACAGTTATAAAAATGGGGGGAAGATTGTTAAGATTAAGTTAAGAGGTGGTTAATTGTATAATTTTTACGTAAATTCACGTTCTTCGCTTATAACTTTTTTCCGTTCATTTCCAGGAGAAACCAGTAAAGTACTTTTTTTCGTCTTCAAAAGACCTACAAAACTAGCCCTCGAGCGTAAAAAAATATTGATTAGGTCAAAAGTTATAAACAGAAGAAGTTTATGTATGACTTTTGAATTAAACATTTATAAACTGCGTTATTATTACCAGAACGTTTTGGCATCGCATTCTCTCGTTCCTTATCACTGTCTAATAACTCACACGAAATTTGGAATCAGTAAGTTGAATAGTTTACAAGTTATGGCCTTATAAACAAATTAACTAATTATTATTCTGGACGATCCCGAGGATCTGCCACAATCGCACTGATTTATTTCATGGTAGATTTCATTATAATACATTGAAATCTATCATTATTTTTTTATTTTTTAGCCTTAGTTGCAAAATATATAAAATATACGACGCACGAGCGTGATATAGTTATATATTATTACATATTCGGGAAGCATATGAAAAAAGCTTTAAGTTAAAAAAAAACCATCAAGATTCGTTCAAAAACAACGGAGTTACAGACTGCCAAATATATTATTTTCAAGAGAATTTCGCTTATTTAACGGCAGGACTATGAATATTATCGTCAATTTCTTCGGACTCGCTGTCGTTCGCTTCCCCCACCCTTCCGCCGCGTCACGTCTCGCCGCAAATCAAGCTACCCGCTGACTTGACAATATTTGTTATGCACTTAACATACTTCCACAAATAAAATATTTTTAACTGGGAAAGTACTCGGGTTGCCGGTTATGACAGTATTTTTTTTTTTGCCGCTACCAACCTAATTTGTTTAACAATAGGCCGTCAACTTTGACAGTCTGTAACTCCGTTGTTTTTCAACGAATCTTGACGATTTTTTTTTAATTTAAAGCTCTTTTCATAAGCTTTCCGAATATGTAATACTAATAATATATAACTATATTGCGCTCGTGCGTCGTATATTTCATTTTGCAACTAAGGCTAAAAAATAAAAAAAATCCAAGTTGCAAATCTACCATGAAATAAATCAGTGCTATTGTGGAAGATCATCGGGATCGTCCAGACTAATAATTAGTTAATTTGTTTATAAGGCCATAACTTGTAAACTATTCAACTTACCGATTCCAAATTTCGTGTGAGTTATTAGGCAGTGATAAGGAATGAGAAGATGCGATGCCAAAACGTTCTGGTAATAATAACGCATTTTATAAATGTTTAATTCAAAACTCATAAACAAACTCCTTCCGTTTATAACTTTTGATCTATCCAATATTTTTTGACGCTCGGCTAGTTTTGTAGGTCTTTCGAAGATGAAAAAAAATACTTACTGTTTTCTCGTGAAAATGAACGGAAAAAAGTTATAAGCGAAAAACTTGAATTTACGTAAAAATTATACAATTAACCACTCTGTAAACAATCTTCCCCCGATTTTTTATCACTGTGGAAACTAATATAATATGTTAATATAGCATAATATTTAGCATCTATAGTGATAAATTCACCTTGCCGAAACAAATAGTCGCGAAATGGTCATTTCTCAGCTTATTTTCCTGGCATAATAAAGGCAATTCTCCTGAGAAAAGTGTGATCCCTGTCATCTAACTGTTGAAATCGTTCGCAAAATGTTAATCTCAGCGAGCGGTCCGGTTCAAGCAAATTTTGTACAGGGTGAAAATGGAAACATTGTAACTGCTGCGTGTGAGTATAGTTGAAACGGTTTTGCAGCCAACTCCTGTGACTGCTGACAAACTGCGAATACTAATTTCGAGATTTTCTTCTATTCTTGTTTTGTTCTTCTTGTACCCTTCTTTGAACGTACCTTCCATTTCGTGAATTAAACCGAGAGTTTTTAGTTTATTCTAACCTACCACTATCATGTCTCCCATTTCATAATTCGTAAATTCATTACGACGAGGCATATTTAGAAACAAACTTTTGCAAAATACAAACTTGACAGTGACTTATCGAAATTGTCATGTTGTTATGGATACGTAGTTATTTCCAAAAAATATGGGGTATGTGTTAATATATATTTTTTGTAATATTTTCATAACCGACCATAATTTCGACTTTTGATAGGTAAGTATACATTTTTTGAGTAGAATAAAATTCTCTACTTATATCTGATAGTTGCGTGTTAAATGTACAAAAACTTAAAGAAGAATATTCACAAACGGTTGTAGTAAAATGAACGCCCTGTATTATTTAACCTAATAGGAACATAACTGCATACTTCATGAAGAGAAATTAAGCATTAGCAATTTTTGCTCAACTGGGTTCTGCGTTAAGGAGAACGCAAGAAATAAAAAAGACTTTAACTTTAACACCCTGTAACGACGTTTTTCGTTTAAGCAAGTTTAGTTAAATCGACACCATTTGGGTTCTAGATTAAAGTATGTAACATTCGTTAGGTGACACCCTGTATTGTACTATAGTTACTGTGAAAAGAAAATGGAATTGCTGCAATAAATTAAAAATTAACAAAATACTTTTTAGTCACTAGTAGGTAAGTTTCATTAGCAAAAGGGTTTTTATTATGACAGCAGCATAATACTCGGAGTAATATTTCTGAAACCTGTTTAATGTAGATATTTTGTTAGGGTTAATCAATAAGTAATTATGGCTAAAGTATGTTTCCCTCACTGTAAACATTAAATAATAATCTAATATTGAAAGTATCGATTTATCTTATTCAAAAGGTAAAAAGTTTCAAAAGTTTTTTACATTTTAATGTATTGCGGGTCAGGAATATTGGAAACAACTTCCTTTGAAATTTAGCAAACATATTTCGAAGTATGTAATGAATGGAATTCATTAATATTTGACATTACGATACGAATCAGAATAGCATTAATATTATTTCGAACTTAAAACTGTAAGCGGCCGAAATCCGAATAATGATGCCGTCCGGTGCTGCCCCTAATGATCAAACTTAGAACTAATCGAAGTAGGGTGGGGGAATTCAGTGCTCACCGTGCCATTTGAAAATCTACTTGGACCAGTTACCAGTTAGTAGCGAGAGGAGAAGACGTAACTGTGGAAGTGTGTTGTACAGCCGAGAGTTTCATTATTTACTTACGTACTTCCTATTCGTTTCACTTGTTTCAGTCGGTATTTAAATTTGTTTAAAAATGTGAGCAAAACCTTAGGATAAAGATTTGTTTAAAAGAGTTTACATCGTTTATATATTTTTTTGGAGAAAGTACAGACTGGTGTTTTGTACAGATTCGGGCAGCGTAATTTAACGTTTCTTAACTCTCATCATTTTGTCTCTTAATAAAGCTGCTTCGAGTGTCGAGTATAATCATAGTATCAGCATTGTCAGCTGTGAGCCTTACCTCGCGCATGCTCGAACCCCACTCTAACTGCCTAGAGGGGGAAACAGCTGAGAAAAGATACAAACTCAAAACATCAAGTTGAAGTTGTCAGTCCGCCGTAGTAGTCGTGTGTCAATACGCGAAATATGCTAAGTATAGTCGAGTGCTAGTCACTTGAGGACTTAGTCAGATTTTCAAACAGACTTTCTACACAGAGCAGTGACTTGTGAAGTGTCTGTGACTTGTTCGCTTTCGGATATGGTGCCCCAACAGAACATGGACGGATCCAGATCAGAAACCCCAACGGGCAGTGTAACCCAGCCACTTTTCGGTTCCCAGTTAGTGGACAAAAATTCGTCCACACCCTACTCTGATGCCACTCAGGTAGGTTTCGAAAATTGTTGCATTGTGTATTAGTGACCGTAAATGGTGGATGTTTTCCATGAACTCGAACAAATTTTTAAGGATTTGGTGCTACGTTGAAATGGATGGTTCATTTTATGCGAAAATGCATTCAACTATTTTAAATAACTAGAAAAATCTGCCGTACCCTTATACAAAAGTTATATTAGAAAATTAATTTAGTTTCTTTAGGCGCCCTATTTTTTAAGTTACTTAGGTAAGTATATAACTACTAAAGAAAATATACTAATATAAGCTCTATGCGCTAGGAAATTTAAAGGAACGTAAAACTGGCCAATAATTAATGGATTGCTATTTATCGAATCAGATTTTCGAAAAAGTTTTTACTTATCTATCCGCCTAAGAGCTTACCATATGTTTATTACATTCTAAACTTGATTTGTTAGGTATAAAATCGATTGAAAGTTTCAGTTATGGAAATTTAATAAAATAGGTACCTACATTGATTTAAAAATTAAACGAGCTTTCCACACGTAAAAATTGTACTCATTCACTGTGTGAATATCTGCTAGGAACAAAAATGATCTTTACGAATTTTAGAAACTGTGGAAAATCGAATGAAAGCCTAATTTTTTTGTAGAAAAATTAAATAGATGCCTACCTGATTTAGGTGAAATATTTCCAAAAATTGGTCTAAATGAGAAATCGAAAGTGAATTCCAAATGTGTTGGTAAAAGAAGTGTTGTGTCAGAATGTCATAAAGTAGTTCTCAAATTTTTGTGTCCACAGGTTTGTAAGGAAATCGGAAAAGCTAACTAATTAGAAATCGTCAGAACGGCACATAAATACTTGAATAGCTATAAATAATACCACTGACACATCCCAGAGCGTTCACATTTTGGACTATTTCCAAAACGAACACTTACATTCGATATAGCACCCACATCTTATCGTGGGAAAATTTAATTTCTACACAACCAGATAAAACTAGGTACTAGTGTTATTACTAACTACCGCGGCTGCCATTCGATGTTCTTGGAAAACGGTCCACCCGGAAAAAACGTGCTAAGCGTTCCTAAATACATTTTGAGGTCGATGAAATATCCACCTCTTTTCAAACAAAAAATATTTTATCTACTATATAAGACATATTTATCAGCGAGTAATAAAGATAAGAACAAAAACATTATCTTAATTATTAGTGGTAGGCATTTAAAGTATGTGTTTTTGTAAATCGTGTAAAAAATGTTTAGGTCAATAACCGGACATGTAGGTACAGTTATTAGGGATTAAATACATACTTAATATTAGTAGTACCTTTACCTTATCATTAAAGGAGGTACTTTATCTTAAATTGAATTTTATATACATAGGTAGGTATATACATATTACAAAAATTAAATTTGTGAGTCCAGGATTAAATAAAAATCGGTCCTTATTAACTATTATCACATATTGCAGAATGAATATCAGATTTTATTTGTAGCTATATATATATATATATATATTATCCAGATATTAATATTATAAATTATAATTAAATTTAATTGTTTTTTTACTGTTAGATTAGTTAAAACTAAATTAATGATAGTGAGAACTTATAAATGCGTTGGAATTATAGGTATAAGTATTTACCAAACTTTATTATTTATAGTGTTACACGAGTAGTGTCTACTACTTATATGCTTTTGTGGGAAAATATAGAAAATAATGTAAACTACTCGATGTCAGTTAGATATAGAGGTAAATATATTTTCAAGAAAAAAATCAGTTTTAACGAACGATATTAAAATTCAAGGCAGGATTCCAATGTCTGAGAATATAATAGGGATATCAAAGCAGATTTATTAACAAATCAGTTCTGGGAACTTTTCTTCCGCTTATTTCAATTCGGTTTTGCCGGTGCGACGATTGGAGTATTAAACTCCTTGAAGGTTACCTATCACTTTTCGCATGTGTGATTTCATGGAGCTGATTGACGTAAATTTTTTTTATTATACCGACAATTTAACGGTATTTGATGTAATCTATAGAAACAAATTTTAACGACGCATTTTAATGTCCCTAATAAGTTAGACATAAATAAAAATTTCAAAATATTTTTTTATATATTTTGGTAGATACCTAGTTATATACCTAAGTGTGGTCGAATTCTGAACATATATTTTAATACACTATTGGAAAATTTGTAAATAGGTTAAAAAAAATTTAGCTTCTCAATTTTCACATTTAAAATTTATTCATCCTAGAGACTGTTGCTTTATAAATCTCTTACTGATAGGCAGTCCTCATAATAATTGTTGTTACGTTATTTATAATGAAAGAATAATCCTTAAATTTTCATGTACATTTTCGCACTCAATTGATTTTCACTAAAAATATCTACTTAATTTTGTTTTATATTTTCGTTAGATTTTACGTTAGTATTTTTACAACCTTTAAATATATTTGTTTATCGGTACTTAGTTACTACTTTTAACTGTTTTCGTATTCTTACTTTATCTTTGAATCATGCTAAACGCTTATTTAATAAAAGCGTTTGCAGCGCCTTACGCATTTCTCAGTGCGTGTGCATATTTTCATTAATATGTACATTATGTACAATTTTCATTCGCCGATAAAATAAGTCGGCCACCTACTGTCTGCCGTGTGCTTTGCTACTTAATACATACTCATGTATTGCGAATCGAGTGTCCTAAATTATGAAGTAAATTATTACTAGTCAACAAGTGGGAAGGAAAAATGAAAAATGTAGAATGAATTTTTACGTACGGCAATGCGTTTGTCGTCAGTTATTGGTACATGATAATTATTAATGTACATGATAATTACTAAGCAATTTATAAAGCATTTTCCAAATGTGCAAACTCAATAAAAATGGTTATTTTAAACCACATCTTTTTTACGCTTTCCTTCACTATTAGGAATTAAAGTGTGAGGATAAAGCAAGATTGATACTAGTCAAGGTTAATCAAGCAGTTCCGTGCTGAGCTTAATTACGAGTATTATTGCTAACATTTTTATACCTGGCTGTTAAAACTACTGTCAGATAGATAAATTATTCAATGTGACTCAGCTAGACCTTGACAAGCCATGCACCTTTATAACCAGCTGATCGCAATCATCAATGCTGCCGTACAATTTATTTACCATTTTGAAATTTTATGCAATAGTCGTGGAAACGAATAGAGAAATGAAATGTTTGAAAACGCTTTTAAATAGCCCCACGGAAGAAAATTAAGTACAGGTATGTAAAAAGAAAATTGTACAGTTGTACAATTTTCTTGCAGTTTATCTGTCATATTTATTTATAATGTTATCAGCTCTTTCTGTCACTGCTGTATTGCGAAAATATAATTAGTTATAATTTACTTGAACTCTAACAGTGAAGTTTAATAGGGATAATCTAATTACTTCCTTAATGTCAACATTAAGGTCATGATTTCACTCGCAGACAACATGTCTGAAATTTTAAAAATACATATATATTTCCTTGAGTTTATACAATGTCAGATAACATGATAACAATGATAAGGAAAATAAAGTAATTAAAGACAGGTAGAATTTTGTTATGGCTAAATTTGCTGAAGTTTAGTTATCAGATATGATGATTTTGATAATTTCAAAGCAATTCGTTTGGAAAGGTATGAAAGAAATGTATCAAGACCGAGATCAAGACCAATAAAAGTTTTACTTGAAAATGAAGAATTAGTGGTATTTCAAATAATTCTTGAGCAGTTTAGCGACATTTCGCTAATATTTAATGTTACACCCAAACAACCTCAAAAGAAATTTGGATGAAAGAACTGAGAACAGTGAAAAAAATCTAAAAATAAATGTCAGTGGTAGGTACACCTAAAATAATTGATAATTTAAACTCTTAAATTTACCCAATTTAATCTAAACTGTTTGTCCCATCTTCTATTATGAATATTCTTGAAAACCTGTTGGAAACAAATTAAATTATTATTGTAATGTTTTCCAGTTACACCTCTAGGTCAAATTGATAAGAAATCTTATCATAACTGTGATAAAAACGAGCTAATCGAGTTGCGACAGATAAAACCGCATTTTATCAACTCCATATTGCACTAAAATCACGTACCGTTCTCATTTCTACTTTTGCAATGCTTCAGTAATTCGTAATCAGTAATTACCGCTTTTATTTTTCCTTTGCTATTTCCGGAACTGACAAAATAGGACCTTGGCATCAAGTGAATGCGATTGCCTAATTTATTTATTACTATGGTACCTATGCATTATAAAAGATTTTACAAGAATTGTAATTTTCCATTCTAGTTAAAGGCATTTATTTTATTTTAAAATAGATAGGTAACGTTAAATTATGATGGTTTATCTAGATTCTTTTTATAAAATAGGTATAACTGCAGGTAGTACAACATACTTTTTTTAGTTTAAGCAATGTTCAAAATGTAGGCAATAGTAAGGATTTTTTTTAGAAAAAATATCTTGCATGAGAAATAATTGCGGAGTCAAGCTTAAACTTGGTAAGATACCTGAGGCAAATAAGGCCTAGGAGGTAATAAGACCCGCATTTAAAAATTCGACCTAAAATAATTTGATGATATATCACTCTTCACGCACACATGCGTTTACTTAAGAGAAGTCTGATTTAGTTTTAGTCCAAGACAGAGAAGTCCCATTTATTGTTTTTATATAGATATAAAAAAAACGAATTAAACTTTTTTTGAATCAACGAAAAGTAGTCCCATTTATTATTTTTTTGTTATCGGAAGAGAAGTTGTAAATTAAAATATTTTATGTTTTAAAATAATTATTTTTGTTTTTAAAAACGATCATAAATAAATATACTTATCTGATTGATATGAAATGTTTTATAAAATCGTTTTAAAGTTTTTCCAAACTATTACGTGTTGCTATATTTTTATTTTCGGCGGGTGGTGCTTTATTTTGCTTTAAATGATGAGATTAGTAACAATAATAGTCCAGTTTCCGTCTAACGCGTGCAGATGTTTGAGAATACTATATATACATGGAAA